CAAAATCAAGTGTACCACATTCATTTATTATTATCCTAATTAATATTATAAATAGGAATGTGTTTGTTTGTTTATTACGATTTCACGCCTTAGCTACTCAAGCGATCATCATGAAATTTTGTACATGCATTGTCAGAAAGAGAAATACCGTTCCCGAAATATAGAAAAATTACTTTTATGTGGTCAAACAAAGTACCTATATCTTAAATACAAGCAGGCAATTAATTTTTTTTTTGTATTTATTGCTCCTCAAAAACACTATCAGATTTTATTTTCTTCTCATGTTTAAAAAAAAAACAGAATTCGGACGGTCGCTGTAGTCGACATGTTTGAAATAATCAACGTGAGCGAGTGTTTATGCATAATTAATTTTTGACAATGTTAAATGGGACAAGATGTTAAATATACTTAAAAATGTAAGGTTGAGTTACAAAGATAGAAGAGTGATACTAAGTTTGTATAAAGAGCAACAGGCAGTTACAGAGATGGGGTTGCAACGTCGAGAAGTAATTATTAGGAAGGGAGTCAGACACGGATGCACACTGTCACCGCTACTTTTTAATCTATACACCGAAGACGCGATCAACACCATTAAAGACAGTACAACTGTAGGGATAGATATTCCATACAGGGGCATACTTAGATTTGTGGATGATATATAGCAGTATTAACATCTAGCAACGATGAATTAGAGATAGCTTTAAATAAAATGGAAGCAGTATTGACAGAACAGTATTGTATGAAAATAAATAAAAATAAAACAAAAATTCTGGTATGCAAGGTAAGAACAAGTAGGCAAAGAGCGAATGTAATAACGAAAAATTAGAAGAAGTGACTGATTTTAGGTATATACTGTAGGAAGTCAGATATTAGGACGGAAGGATGGTAGGGATATAAAGCAGACGATAGCGCAGAGTCAAGTCGCCTTCAATTCAAAAGAAGTGCATATAAATACCAGCAAATTACCCAAAAATAGAAATATATATTACTAGCCTGATACTCATTTCTAGAGTATATTTTCTCGTTAGCTGTATGTACGTACTAGTCCTACGACTGCTTGGACTCACACATCTACTCTTTCCTATCCTGAGCTAGCCTTCGCATTTTCCTAAAACTAGAACAACCCACATCCTTAACTATTTGCGAACATTAATCTAATCTAGGTCTACCTCTACCCCTAATAACTCCTGTTTCTGCCTCTAATATGTCTCTGACTAGACCTTCCTGCCTGAGAAGGTCCTACCAACCTATCTCGCCTATTTCTTATTGACTTCCATAGAATCCTCTGTTCTCCTATTCTTTCTAACACCTCTTCATTTCTAACCTTCACTATCCACGGTATCCTAATCATTCGCCTGTAACCCCACATTTCGGACGTTTCTAATCTTTTCTTTTCTGCCGCGCCCACCGTCCTTGTTTTGCACCCGTAACAACCTTTTTCGAATTTCCAAATTAACCGTTCGCGGGCATAGAAGTGACTTCTTTTTATTGAAAGCACTCGTCTGTGCGTAGGGATATAAAGCAGACGATATTTTATATCCCTATACTACTCCTTCCGACATCTGACTCCCTAGATACCTAAAATTGGTCACTTCTTCTAATCTTTCGCCTCTTATCTTTATATTCGCTCTTTCCCTACTTTTTCTTCCCTTGCATACCAGTATTTTTGTTTTAGTTTTATTTATTTTTATACAATACTGTTTTGTCAATACCGATTCCATTTTATTCAAAGCAATATGTAAGTCCTCCTTGCTAGATGCTAATACTGCTATATCATCTGCAAATCTAAGCATACTAATCTTTTGGCCCTGTATGGTATATCTATCCCTACAGTTGTTTTGTCTTTAATGATATTGATGGCGTCTTCGATGTACAGATTAAAAAGTAGCGGTGACTGTCTGACTCCCTTCCTAATATCTACTTCTCCACGTTGCAGCCCCATCTCTATAATTGCGTGTTGCTCTTTATACAAACTTAGTATCACTCTTCTNGAATGTGTTTGTTTGTTTATTACGATTTCACGCCTTAGCTACTCAAGCGATCATCATGAAATTTTGTACATGCATTGTCAGAAAGAGAAATACCGTTCCCGAAATATAGAAAAATTACTTTTATGTGGTCAAACAAAGTACCTATATCTTAAATACAAGCAGGCAATTAATTTTTTTTTTGTATTTATTGCTCCTCAAAAACACTATCAGATTTTATTTTCTTCTCATGTTTAAAAAAAAAACAGAATTCGGACGGTCGCTGTAGTCGACATGTTTGAAATAATCAACGTGAGCGAGTGTTTATGCATAATTAATTTTTGACAATGTGAAATGGGACAAGATGTTAAATATACTTAAAAATGTAAGGTTGAGTTACAAAGATAGAAGAGTGATACTAAGTTTGTATAAAGAGCAACAGGCAGTTACAGAGATGGGGTTGCAACGTCGAGAAGTAATTATTAGGAAGGGAGTCAGACACGGATGCACACTGTCACCGCTACTTTTTAATCTATACACCGAAGACGCGATCAACACCATTAAAGACAGTACAACTGTAGGGATAGATATTCCATACAGGGGCATACTTAGATTTGTGGATGATATATAGCAGTATTAACATCTAGCAACGATGAATTAGAGATAGCTTTAAATAAAATGGAAGCAGTATTGACAGAACAGTATTGTATGAAAATAAATAAAAATAAAACAAAAATTCTGGTATGCAAGGTAAGAACAAGTAGGCAAAGAGCGAATGTAATAACGAAAAATTAGAAGAAGTGACTGATTTTAGGTATATACTGTAGGAAGTCAGATATTAGGACGGAAGGATGGTAGGGATATAAAGCAGACGATAGCGCAGAGTCAAGTCGCCTTCAATTCAAAAGAAGTGCATATAAATACCAGCAAATTACCCAAAAATAGAAATATATATTACTAGCCTGATACTCATTTCTAGAGTATATTTTCTCGTTAGCTGTATGTACGTACTAGTCCTACGACTGCTTGGACTCACACATCTACTCTTTCCTATCCTGAGCTAGCCTTCGCATTTTCCTAAAACTAGAACAACCCACATCCTTAACTATTTGCGAACATTAATCTAATCTAGGTCTACCTCTACCCCTAATAACTCCTGTTTCTGCCTCTAATATGTCTCTGACTAGACCTTCCTGCCTGAGAAGGTCCTACCAACCTATCTCGCCTATTTCTTATTGACTTCCATAGAATCCTCTGTTCTCCTATTCTTTCTAACACCTCTTCATTTCTAACCTTCACTATCCACGGTATCCTAATCATTCGCCTGTAACCCCACATTTCGGACGTTTCTAATCTTTTCTTTTCTGCCGCGCCCACCGTCCTTGTTTTGCACCCGTAACAACCTTTTTCGAATTTCCAAATTAACCGTTCGCGGGCATAGAAGTGACTTCTTTTTATTGAAAGCACTCGTCTGTGCGTAGGGATATAAAGCAGACGATATTTTATATCCCTATACTACTCCTTCCGACATCTGACTCCCTAGATACCTAAAATTGGTCACTTCTCTAATCTTTCGCCTCTTATCTTTATATTCGCTCTTTCCCTACTTTTTCTTCCCTTGCATACCAGTATTTTTGTTTTAGTTTTATTTATTTTTATACAATACTGTTTTGTCAATACCGATTCCATTTTATTCAAAGCAATATGTAAGTCCTCCTTGCTAGATGCTAATACTGCTATATCATCTGCAAATCTAAGCATACTAATCTTTTGGCCCTGTATGGTATATCTATCCCTACAGTTGTTTTGTCTTTAATGATATTGATGGCGTCTTCGATGTACAGATTAAAAAGTAGCGGTGACTGTCTGACTCCCTTCCTAATATCTACTTCTCCACGTTGCAGCCCCATCTCTATAATTGCGTGTTGCTCTTTATACAAACTAAGTATCAGTCTTCTATTTCTGTAACTTCAACCTTACATTTTTAAGTATATTTAACATCTTGTCCCATTTAACATTATCAAAAGCTTTTTCTGAATCTAATAAAGTAGTTTATAAAAAATATTTTCTTCAGATATGACCGTAGCCTTGAGAAAACCCAACAGCATGGGCGAAACGTTGACTGTAGTCTTTTAAATAGAATACTTTTAACCCCAATATTGCTTTGAATAAACAAAAATGTAAAGTTTCTTGATGCGACATGTACTCTGTTTTAGTCAGAAATTTTTATATAATAATTACATTCTGTCGGAGTATATTCATATTCAGCAATCGATCGTTTGACTTTGATCATATAGCGAACTGAGTGTATATTTTAGCCCATAAACGAATTCGGCAAAAGGGTCTGACATATAAAATGTAAGTTCTTTTCTCTTTGTTCTACATGTTTATTGAAAAGTAACTTAATAGAATTTTACATGAAAACGTTTGTTACAGCATCACAAAACTCCCTATGTGTTATGTCAAAAGTGACAGAGGTCGCGGTGGAGAGAATTGACGGATCGTTGGGACTAACACTGAGAGGAGGTGCAAATCACGAACAACCTCATCTCAGTAGGCCATTTGTCGTAACCCACANTTTTTAAGTATATTTAACATCTTGTCCCATTTAACATTGTCAAAAGCTTTTTCTGAATCTAATAAAGTAGTTTATAAAAAATATTTTCTTCAGATATGACCGTAGCCTTGAGAAAACCCAACAGCATGGGCGAAACGTTGACTGTAGTCTTTTAAATAGAATACTTTTAACCCCAATATTGCTTTGAATAAACAAAAATGTAAAGTTTCTTGATGCGACATGTACTCTGTTTTAGTCAGAAATTTTTATATAATAATTACATTCTGTCGGAGTATATTCATATTCAGCAATCGATCGTTTGACTTTGATCATATAGCGAACTGAGTGTATATTTTAGCCCATAAACGAATTCGGCAAAAGGGTCTGACATATAAAATGTAAGTTCTTTTCTCTTTGTTCTACATGTTTATTGAAAAGTAACTTAATAGAATTTTACATGAAAACGTTTGTTACAGCATCACAAAACTCCCTATGTGTTATGTCAAAAGTGACAGAGGTCGCGGTGGAGAGAATTGACGGATCGTTGGGACTAACACTGAGAGGAGGTGCAAATCACGAACAACCTCATCTCAGTAGGCCATTTGTCGTAACCCACATACGACCTCACGGTTCCGCTCAAAGGTAAGTAATTTTCATGTTTTCGCTTTACCTTTTCCATTTCGTTCATCAAAGGATACTACCGAAGTTGGTGTAAGTGAGAAAGAATTTTCAGTTGTTGACAAAAATTCTTTTATAAAAAAGTATTGAAAGTGTATACTTACTTACACGGTACGAAAAGTAAAAAAGTTGAAGTCAAAGCAGGAAAAAAATTAAATAAAATCTACACCCGAACTTTCTGATGTCTCGCTACTACTTTCTCATACTTTTAGTAATGTAGATTGCGTCACGATGTAATTTTTTAGTTATCTATTAGTTAAACAAGAAAAACTTCCTCTGGAAAATAATAATTTTTTGTAGTATCACTGAAGGGTTTCGCACCATGTAATTATTTCTTTAATACATGAACCTCGTCCACTACATCAACTTACGAAAGAAATACCAACGGGAACTATTTTGTATAAATCGGAAGCAAAATGCAGAATAAGCTAAATTGCAACGTTTTTATAGTGTTTTTTTTTCTACGGGAAGACCTTTCTGAGAGGAATTCCACTTTTATTGTTTTCAGGCAATTTGTTGGTAATTCAAATTGAAAGACAACTCACTTGTTTCGTTCTTACGATTTTTTCTTATTTTATTCTGTACTAGTTATAGAAATATAAAACATATTTACAAGGCGTAAATTATTTTGATAAATNTATATGAGCTCTCAAAGCATATAAAAATTATACGGCTTAAATGTGAAGTTGGGTGCAAAAGAATACAATTAAATCCTCTGTCGGGAAAAAGTGAAATGACTTTCCGAACAACCCTATAGAATTTATAAATTTTACATTGGTTCCCATTGACAATCAATGGAAATTTTTCCTATGTAAATATTAATGGAATTGTTGTAAATAGAAACAATTATTTTTCCATTCATGCCAAATGGGATTGAATGGAATTTACAAATTTTCCATTGATTCCCACTGAAGTTCAATGGAAATTTTTTCTACGGGGTATCACAAATATCAACAACTTGTAATCCGAAAAAAGATTTAGGAATGAGTGAATTAAATTTGAAATTATATTAAAACGTCAAAAGCTAGCAAGTTTTGTACAAACCAAAAAAAAAAAAAATAAATTGGTCAAAATGGATCAGCCCGATTTGATGTGCTTCTATCGAACAGGTTTCTTCATTGACCAAATTATACCAGGAAGTACCTCTGACAGATGCGGCGCTCTAAATGTCGGAGATCAATTATTAGCAATAGACGACATCTGTTTGGACGATTGGAACGGTAGTCCGAGAGATGCCGAAAAGTTATTAAGAGGTGCCACTAAACTCCAAATATTACCAGCACATGCGGTACAACGATCGTCCTCACGAAATTTTAAGTCCGGTAAATAAAAACTATAATTCTAATCATTAGAGCTGACCGTTTTTAGTTACTTATGTGTGTACCATTCGTTATGCAGGTGTTTATCAAAGCAGTCCGAGCGTCTCAGGGTTTAGCACAATTAATTCAAGAAGGTCGAGAAGTAGGAATAATCGATATAACAACCGTAAGAGCTCAGTACCAAAACTATTTGAGGGAGGAGATCAAGGTAAGTGTTAAAACTTCAACAAAAGAAAGCTTTATTCCTTTTTATATTACTTTCATAAGGATTTTTTTGATAATAGCAACATAAAATCATTCCCGATTATACAAGGTGTTACATACGTGTACTAAGTACTTACAGTTTTTGTAACGGAATATTGTTAGGGTTTAAACGATAGACAGTAATATAGGGACGAAACATAATGTACCATTACAAACGACGGGAGATAAGTCTCTCATGAGAGAATCGGTGGTGCTCATACAATTATACCTACATTTTATTTGCTGCACCTATACAGTAGTTAGCATACTACGCTTGCGCTGTACGAGTAGCCAATTGAATCTAGGCACCTGCAGAGATGTGATTTATTTGAAATAGTTGCATTTAAATACTTTTTTGAAAAAAGCATTTTGTATTTTATTTAAAATACTTTTCCAAACGTATTNATACAACAAAAAGAAAACTTTGACCGTTCTAAATAAAAAAACTTTCGTAATTTAGATTGTTTCGCAACTGTAGTAAATCCAACTAATTTTACCATCTGTATTTGCTTTTTATTTCACATCTTATAAATTATTGGTTAAATCGGGTTAACAACTGGAAATTCTTATTCAGAAGGAAACCTTTATAGGTACAATACAGCGTGATTTATTTGGACATTACCGTACAATCTAAAGCGTAAAACTTTTCGCAAACTGCAGACGTTTACAAACAAATCGAACTTAAATATGAATGTTACATTAGGTATTTCAAATAAAGTCATCTAATCTTTTTTATAACGTTTTACTAAAGAAGATAATGGTTTCTTTACGGGCCTTTCATATTAAGTTTCGTCCGTTTGCAATGTTATTAATTTTTAGAATGCTTTCATCTCATCCCCCCTTCACGTAAAAGGACCGATTCGTTACATGAGAAGAAAATAAAGGTCACGTAACATTATATATTCAAAATTAAGTAAGGAGTGGTCCGTAATATACTTTCGCAGATAAGGGAGGGGATATTGCTTAGTGTGACGAGATATGACTCAATGGTGGAGGGAGTCTAAAAAAATTTTATTTCAATGTTTTTCTTGACTTAGCAGTTCTTAAAATTTATCATTACAATAGAATGTAATTCTCACTGTCGCTGAAAGTGTGACTTAAGTGACAAAAGGGGAAGGAATGGTCCAAAAACAGAAATGTGAAATTTTGAGTGACTTATTTTATGAACGGCGAAGTTATTGTAGTTGCACTGTGGGAAATAGTAGATCGAGACAAAAAAAAAAGAAAAAGTTAATTCTATACACTATATCTGATCAGTATTCCGGAATATTTGAAGGGTACTGTAGAGTGCGCACAACGTAGAGAATGTAAATAATGTGCACAAAAAGTACCCCAGTTAACGAGTCGTCAATAATTAAGAATAGTTACCGCGTTATTTTATCGGTTTTCGACGAAACACACATACCTATTCGGGACCTTCGCAAACAGCTGATACGTAAACAAGTCAATTGTACGTAATGATTAGCAATAATCTGCACTCATTAGCGTTCGAATGGGAAAGTATTACTACAAAATATATGGAAATACTACAAAATATATGGAAATATCAAGAAAAACCAACGGATTCACATGCAGAATATGCGAATTCACCGGGGGTATCATGCGAATACGCATCATCGTTATCATTGTCGAAGCAGTTGGAGCTTTCTGTAAGGTCACTACCCACATGTTTATGTTTATCACTGATGGTGCGAGATAGCTCATCCTACTTTTTTTTCATGTACTTTCTTTTCCCTTAATTTCCCGGAGTACTGATCAGAAATTGTGCATATACCCTTGCGATAGACCGATTGCCCGGTATTTACTCACCCTGTATAATATTGCATATACAGAGGCTATTAAAAACTATATATTTTTAGAACGGGATTAATACGGGTAGGTGATCGCCTCTTGAAAGTGGACAATCAGTCTCTTTCAAATAAAACCTTGATGGAGGCCCAACAAATACTGAAAGATCCCTCGCCGAACAAAATTTTACCGTCGGTGACCACCCTGACCATAGAGTATGACGTGAATATTATGGAGACTGTCAAGTACGCCAATAGTCCGCTGTTGGTAGAAATTGAGCCCAGTGATAATGATCTAGGGCTTGTGTTAACCAACTACTGTGATTTTGAACCAGACGAAATCCTATCCGCAGGTACAGTATCATTAGGTATAATTAATGATAGTTGTTTTTGGTTCTGCTAAAGGCGAAAAACTGGCTTCTTATTAAATGGATAGGAAGGGATAAACAACCCTTATTTACAAAAGGTTTAAGTCGGGCTAGCAAAACGCAATTGGCCTACTAATCCAATCAATAGGAACGATTTAAAGTTAAATTTCATGAAAATATTAACAGGAAACAAAAAATATGGTTGTGTGGAACTAAAAATTCTAAGAAACATAGATCCGCGATGTCTGGGATGTTCTAAAAAATTCATAGTGGAAAAAAAACAATTTTTTGCAAATAACAAAAAACTAAAGCTAGAGGAATGAGAAGGATGTAGATATTATAAAGATCTGTCTATCCATTTTTCTTGCTATCAATCAGTTCATTACTTTTCGAGATGTATGGAAAATCGACTTCTTTTGTTTTCGCCGTAGTTTTTTCAGTTTAACGTTTTTAAGCTACTCGCTGTAAGTATATCCCTTGACAAGCCCAAAAAGTGCCTACTTAAGAAATTAAAAAATATTGAAAATTTTTCGAGATATATCGATTTTTCGAAAAAAAGGTTCTATCGAAGATTGGCTCCTCTTTCTCGAGGGAAGATTCGACGAAAACCGTTTAGGGTTTATTTTTTTCTCTAAGAGTTGTACTTTTACAGTAAAAAGGAATAGCAAGGATTTTTTTAGTTCAAAGTGTTCAAAAATGATTTGGAAAATTTTAATGTTCGATCACGTTTTCCTTTAATATGTTTTCCAATTTTCATTTCTCAATAACGACTGTTACAGAAATCGATTGCTGGGTATTTTTACACCAATTAACAAAGAATGTTTTTGTATCACCTTCTGGAGTCGAGATAACTACAGCGCCTGTTTTTACTGAGAAAAAGGTTGAATACTTATATTTTCAATAAAAATCATACTGGGTATTATGTCATCGTTAGTCAAAACCTGATATACCGACAAATATTGTAATAATTCGGTCATACTGATGTATTCTTGAAGAATTATACTAAAATAACAAATAATTTAGTGTAGTGATCAATCAAAAATACAAATTAGAACAAACGCTGTATCCCAATACAGTCTTAATTACAAATTTTCATTAAGCAGGTTTTTTTGTTACACTTGCTGAGATGGTGTTGGTGTTTTGAAGTGAAACTTCTTTACGCACGGTAAGGTGAGTTCGTCTCATGCGAGTTGTTATGTAACGAAATCATGCAACGGATGTCCCCCCTCTACTCGGCCACGTAGTCTAATTCGTAGTGGGGATCGCTTGAGCCGTGAGCGCGCTTCAATGCAACGTTAGTTACAGGCAACTTCAGCATGTATAGTGTAAAATTTAAATTCATAGTGTACAAATAATACCATTAAACCAATTCCTTAACCCCTATCCCGGTATGTTTGTGTGCTTGAAGAAGTTTCACTTCAGTAGCGTGTTTTATAATTACACGTTGTATTTTTTTTCTGGTAGAATTACCCAATACTGCCGGATCTAGACCGGGTACCCAGCCCATCTGTGCTTTAAATTCAATTTATCAAAAAGATTCCTTTATAAAGCCTTATCCTTCTTATATTCTCCTTTTTTTTCCTTTAATATTGATATGAATAAGCAAAGAATCTGGACAGTTAAGGGTTGGAAGGTTTATATTTGTGTGTAGAACCAATAAGCCTTCCAACCCTTAACTGTCTAAATTCTTTGCTTATTTTGCTCCTTCATAATTGCTTATATTTGCTGAGCTCAGTTTCATTTTTTCCTTTTTCCTTATTATTTCGTTTTTGTTTGCGAACAACCGTAATAATAAATAGTAAAGATAGCTTTAACCAAGACGATTTTGTAGTAAATCGAGTGAAAGAAAACCAGTTATCAATTTATCAGCTTTTCTTTAGACTTTATTACACTGACGATGAGACAGCTAATGAATTTATAGTCTAAACGAAAATACAATACTATAAAAGCCATTAAGGACGCAATAGATTTCTTTGAAGCTTACTTAATAATTACTACTTGATTGACGGTTTGATTTTAATCTAAATAACGAATTTCCTTATTAAATTATGTAAATTCACGCATGCTGTCTCATCATTATTAAAGTACTTTTTACATATCTACCGTGTCGTGACGACAGACCTACGTGGTGGCATTTAAAAAACTTATTAGTACAGAATTTATTTTTTCGCTGTAAAGAAAAGAAAAGGCTCGAGAAATCTCATTTAAGTACTTAATAAATTCTATTTCTTTCTGGATTCCGTTTCATGAAAATGCTTTCAAGATATTCGATACAATAATGCTGTTCCTTTCTTGATATAAAGTTTAATAACTTGTGTATGGTGTTCAAAATTAGGAATATTCCTCGTTATGGCGATTAGAATTATATTTAACAAATTTTACGAAATACGGGAGAGAGAAAGTCAAATCTTACTTACTTTTACTGACAACAGGAAAAGCAATAGAAGTCACTAAATTAAAATAAGCCATTTTTTCGCCTTTACAAAAGTAAATCAATATAAATTAATAGTTTTTAACGTTTTAATAAACTTTTTCTAAGTATGTATTAATGAAGGATTTTCTTAATGGAAATGAACCTCTCTTTTAAATCTTCTCATGTAAAGGGTGATATCAAGATACAGTAGAACCTCGATAAGATAAAGACCAAGGGAAACGTAAAATAATTTGAGTTATTGAGGTTTTTACTTACTAAGGGTTTAAGTTTAAGCTTTAAAATTATGGATTTTCAGTGACTTAGCAAACTCTTCAACTTTTTCCTTTAGTAAAGGTTCACTAACACTAATGTTATTATTTATTTATACACTGTCTAAACCATGTAAACAACAAATATTTATCTAAATTAGGAAATTCAGTAATTCTTCGTCTTTCACATAGAAGAGCTTTTCCCGATTCAAACCACTTTTCACTGCTTACAGAGGTGCGATGCCCAAATTATTCGTTTAAGTTATAGAGGGTTTTTATTTTAAGTAATAGAAGTTTTGGACTCCGAGGGGAAAGGAACACAAAATTTTATGAATTTATAGAGGTTATTACGTTATCGAGGGTTGAGTTATCAAGGTTCTATTGTACTTTTACTGTTTATACATATATTCAATAAGCAGAGACTTTTATATATATGTTTATCATAAAATCGCCATGAAACATCTAATTAGATGTACCTAATAAACGCCATCTCGCCAT